AACTTTTATTAGTCACATCACAGACCTCTTTTCAGTGTTGATTGAACTATTTCACAGTTTCCTTCTGAAATATGATGTCTAACAAAATGATGTTTAATATCAATGTGTTTGGTTCTCTGGTGATGGACCGGATGCGTTGATAACATCCTGCACCCTTCGTTGTCTTCAAAGATGCAGGGGACTTTGTTCATTTTAAGTCCAATGTGTTTCAACAGTTGTGTTAACCATAGTAATTCTTTAACTGCGTCACCCAGTGCCATATACTCTGCCTCAGTAGATGATAGCGCCACCGTCTGCTGTTTCGTGGATTTCCATGTTATTGCAGTATTTCCGTAACATGTAAACAGTAACCGGTAATCGACTTTCTGTCCACCTTATCACCAGCCCAATCGGAGTCGCAGTAACCAACTAAATTGAAACTCGTGGTCTTCTTGAATACTAATCCTAAACCGAGAGTACCTTTTATGTACCGAAGAACATGTTTAGCAGCAGCATAATGATTTGCATACGGGGTTTTGATAAACCTTGACAGGGCCGAGGCCGCATATGACAAATCGGTCCTCACTGTATTCGCAGCAAACAATAATTTCCCCACCATGGTGCGATACAGGGAAGTATCTTCATCAGACAGCGGCTTACCCTCAGGGACCAAGGACGACCCAGCAGCAAGGGGAGTCTGAACTGTATTACAGTCAGACATATTGAAATCACCCAAGAATCCTGCTAAGTACTGACCGAGATGCATGGAAACCACACCAGGACGTTGGGAAACTTGCATCCCTAAGAACCGAGAAACTGCACCAAGATCCTTCATTTTGAAATGAGAAGACAGAACGTCTTTGACGGAATCAATTGAAGAAGTAGAGTTGGAGAGGATCAATAGATCGTCAACATATAAGGCAACAAGTGTAACCGACTTCTCAATAACCAAAGAGTAAACACCAAACTCAGACATCGACCGCACAAAGCCAAAATCTATTAATACCTGATTGATTTTAACATTCCAGCAGAGGGGTGCTTGTTTCAAGCCATAAAGACTTTTATTCAGATGGCACACTTTTGAACCAGCAGCAGGAGATCCAGGGGGAGGCTGCATATAAAGCTCCTCATGCAAATCACCGTTCAGGAATGCGGTGGTTACGTCCATT